GTGTTTTGTTCTTTGTAGTTTTGTTTTATCCAAGTGACAAGTGACACGGTTACATTTTTGATTTGTGAATTATATCTAATAAAAATGTAAATATTAATTTCCTGTTGCCTCTGTGATAAACCACCACATACTTAGTGGCTTGAAAACAATACAAATTTATTGTAGGTTAAAATGAGAAGTCAGTTTTCAGAAACACATTTTAGTTGCTTTTGCCATAGAAAAGCAATTGTGAAATGTAGATATGTTACTTTGTTTCACTATAGTAACTACTGTATTACTATATGTGTCCCATGACATTGTGTAAATGTAAAATATACACAATAAAATTTATTATTAAGCAATGAACAGGCAGGATTGTGTTTCTTCTGGAGGTTCTGGGAAAAATCGATTTCCTTGCCTTTCTTTCCACCTTGCATCCTTCCTCTCTGAATCCCACACCTATGGGACCTCAGCTTCCATCTTCTCACTCTTTGCTTTGTGACTTCACAGGATCCATCAGATAGTCTAGAATAATCTTCCCATCTCAAAATCCTTAATCACACTGACAAAGACCTACAATAACAGACCCATAGGGATTAGCACGGGGATGACATTAGAAGACATAATTCTGGCTGCCATGCTGTCTTTGCTAAAGAGACTCTCATTAAATCTCTTCAGAGAATCTGATATTCAGCCAGGTGTAGGAATCCCTGTCCTAAGGTATTTCTCTGCATATAGCTATAGTTTTCTCTGCTCAAGTAATTTCTTTCTGTGAGAAATTACCAGAGAGCTACAATTTTCCTAATGAAAGTAAGGCTATCATTTTACAATTGTTTCACGCACTTGTGGATGATGTCACAAGACATAGCAATTGCCATTGTTTATTTCTGGTATGATTGGTTTTCCCACCTCCTATACAATTAAATTGTCTTCTTAGAGGTGTCCGTGTTCTGAAGACCTGTCTCCTCAGGAAATCTCCCCATGATCTCTATATTATCAGGCTTAAATGTCCACAGAGGACCCCAAGAACCTATAGGAAGCAGCACACTTAGACAAAATAATGTTGTACAATAAGCAGATTAGGAAACATGTACTTTTAAAACTAATATCCAACAAATACCTGCTTACCCTTAATGCAGGGCTCTAGAAAAAACTGGATTGGGTGGTGGGTTTAGGGCTAGAAGTTCTAAGAGTTGCCTTTCTCCTCACTCTAAAAGATAGACAGCCAAATCTGAGAAGACCTCAGCTGACTAGCAGTAGAGAGGAGCACACAGCCTCCCACTAATGAAAGCAAGTCCGGAGAACAAGAGTAATTCTTTGGTCCCTTAAGGAGGTGTGAATCAGGAGTGACAGATACAATGGTAGGTGCTCCTCCTCAATGGTATGGACTGAGCTGTAGATACTTGTACTGTATGGCTACTTTAATAGGTATACAAAATGTCTATAATGTGCTCCCCTCACTCACCGAGTTTATAGCATCACCAGGCCATATATATGTTAAGTATGCATATGTACATTAGAAAATTGTGTGTGTGTGTTGTGAATGGAGCTGAGCTATTTCACTGCTTTCCCTTCTATTTACCCAAGTAAGAAAAAATAAAATAAAAAGTTGTCCACTTTTATGGGAACACTACAGTGGGATTAAAAATTGACCTCACATGCCAGCACTCAGGCATATATGACACGTTCCTGAGAATCTGCTCTCTAGTCCTTGGTATCAAATAGTCACTCAGAGAAAGCCTATACTTGCCACCCTCCTTTGCAACTAGGCATGGTCAGCTGGATGTGAATGACCCCAATGGAATTTAAACACATGAGATGTGTTCTATCCACTTCTTACCCTTAAAGCCTGGGTGTACACTCCACCTGTCCTTGTCCCTCTTTCCTCTCATTAGATGATGGTGTTAGAGCAGCCACTTTGGGCCCAAAGACAGAAGCTATGTGCTGGGGATGGCAAAACTTCCTTTTCAGGTATGAAATGTCTACTAAACTTCACAGAGAAAAAAAAAATCTTATTTCAAGTGCTGTGTTTTTAGATTCCTTTGTCATTACATCTTAAATATTTTAAATAGAACCAAAGGACTCCAAAAGTCCTATTGATTGTAGAAAGGTTAATGGAAAACATGGGATGATATTTGGGGGCCTAAAACATCTAGTATTAGGGGACAAAAGGAGGGAAAATATGGAGCCAGAAATGAACTTGGGTCTGCATAATATGAAACTTCTAATTTGTCCTTTAAAAATAATGATTCATTTACATTTTCAACAAAGGACATGTAAATCTGGACCAAAACTCTTGCCTAATTTTAGATCCTCCCAACAACTTTATTAATCTTTCTCTACATTTCAGTGCTTCAGGAAAGCATGAAATGAATTCTGGAAATATTCCCTAATTCTTCCCTTTTGGATCATTTTAGAACGTATTAAGTACTTTATTATATACCAAGAATTATAGTCAGAGATTTTCAAATACTATTTCATTGAGCATCCCCAGCACTATAAAGAGGTATAATTATTATTATCCCATTTCCTTCAGATGAACACACTGAAACTCAAAGGAGAGTTAGAACAAATAACATTGCTTTAGCTTCAGTCATCCTTGCTAACAGAAACCAGGTTCTTCTCAGGAGTGGAGCAGGCATGCATGTAGGGTCAAGAACAGATATGGAACATTTCCATCTCACAGAAATTTCTGTTGATATAGAACATTTCTTTCTCAAAGAAAGTTATGGAAGGCCAGTCATAGTAATGCACACATGAAATCCCAGCATTCTATGAGGCTGAAACAGGATTACAATTTCCCCAGCCTAGGGAACTTAGTGACTAAGTAAAACCCTGTCTCAAAATAAGAAATAATTTTTGTAACTCAACGCAAAGGCCTTGGGTTCAATCCCTAGTACCAAGAAAAAAAATAGTTCCGGGAATAACAGGGCTTTAGATTAGAGGATGAAGGCATGGGATTGGAAGCAGAAACCCCAGGTTTGAATACCATTCTCTCCACTTGCCACCAGTATGCTTTTGAATAGATTGCTTTCTCTCTATATATCTCAGTTTCCTCATCTATAAATAAAAATGAAAATACTAGCACTTACCTCAAAGGGATTAAACAATACTGAAAGTCCTTGGACCACCACAGAGAACATAGTAAGTTCTTAATAGATGTTAGTAATTATCCTTACTTGGCAGCTATTTTAAGTCATTTTCCAAACTCTTGCATGAGAATAATTATGCTAAATAGTTCTACATCATAATTCCTGATTCCTGATCTTCATACTTTCTCATCCTAACTGGGGATCTCAAGGCACAGCAGTCAAAAATATGGACAATTAAATTCTTTGTGTATAGACATGACATACTGTTTAATGCTAATATTTACTCTTAGAGGAAACAAACTACATACTCATTAATGTCAAGGAAAGCTTTCTAAAGAAACAGGTGGCTGGCAGGCTTGAGAAGTGAGAAGGTACAAAACACTGCACCAGAGCACTCTGAACATCACTGTGAGGAGGAGCTGGGCTGCACTTGCTGAAGCTGTTAGTATACTTTTGGGAACCAGAGGCACAGCCACCTGATAGCAAAACTCCAGGATTCAGAGGTGAACAACCTGAAGGCAAAGTACCGCAGGACAATCTGAGACCAATTACTCCAAGCAGAGCGCGGAGAATGTTAATCTAGTGGCAAGTGGGAGGCTTCATGCTTCCAGTGGATTAATGCCTTGTCTTACTCCTTACCTAGGACTAGAATTCCTCCACAAAGTAAATTGGCAAATTTTTCATAATTCTTTATAGCCTTTGCTAACGGCTCATTCGGCTTAGACTCCCCTCTCTCTGATCTATGTGTGGCTGGTTCTTTCTCTATATTTAGATTTCTACCTAAATACACCTCCTGAGATAAGATTTCACTCATATCACCCAATGTAGAGGAACTGCCAAGACATTCTCTCTATTTCTCCACTTTACAATCTTCATATTACTTATTACTTTCTGATATTCTTCTTTTTTCTGACTTTAGTAGTTTTATCATCTTTCATGTACAATTATAATAGAAATACAAGACAGCAAGAAGGGAGCTTGTGTATTTAGTTTGCTACTATATCTGCAATATCTGGAAAAATGCTTGGAGCACAGTACATTCCCTGGAAATATTTGTCAAATGAATGAAAAAAGCCAGGATATCAACCTAAATGTCCACAGTAGCCAGCTATTTCATGTAGCTATTGCTTCTGCTTTCCAACTTGAGAACACACCTTCCATAGACATAAATTATCTGAAACCTCGATGGCTTATTTCAATAATCCATAGCAATCAAAGGAAGTAAGTTATATCCTTTCTTTAATGATACATTCACTGTGAAGCTAGGATCCTCAAAATTGTAGAATTCAGCTTGCCCCCAAGTGTATGGGTTATACCCTGAACCTGTATCACCTGCTTCATCTCCTCCCACCCAGATTTTACACAGCCAAGAAATGGCATGAGCAATTCAAGCAAACACAGAGCAGGATTCCATGCCAGGGTCCACATCTCCTACCACAGGCCACCAGGGACAAACCTAAAGTTGTTCGGCTGTTCTCCTTGTTCCCTACAAAGAGACAATGTGCACCATGGGGATACGGGGTACATCTCAGCACAAGAGTGTTAATATGGACATCTCATGGGATTTGAGCAGGTGTCGGGTGAAGTGAGGGAGATCCTAAGAAGTAAGCGTGACTCTAGACTGGGCTCTGTCAGGAAGTGGAAGGTAGTTCTGTGAATGGTATTTTAAATCATATCCAGAGAAAAGAAGATTAGAGTGAAGCTACAACCACTCATATTAACTAGAAGAGAGAGAGCTGATATTCTGTGGTTTATACCATGACCTAGTTTTCCTCCGTGCCTAGATAAAACGGAGAAGTTTGTTTTGTTTGCTTGTCTGGTGTCATTTCTCTATGTGACCCTATTTGATGTTAGAATTCCAAGAGGCCTGAGAACACCACGACCCAGCTGTGAAGCCAGGTCAGGTATGAAGCCAGGGCAGCGACTGACCACACAGAGACCACACTTCCAGGGTCAGGCCATTCCCATACAGGGGCTGCTTGCTCTTTTCTCTCAGCCACCTCGTAGATGGCTGCCCCCATGTCCAGACCACAGGTCATTATGTTTAGCTTTTGTCTGTTCACAGGATCAGTCAGGTAGCACTGCAGCTTCCACCTCTCGAATTCTGCATAAGCCATTGTAATTTATCGAAGAACACTCTAAGCCTCCTTCCAAATGCAGCTGGACGTGTGGTAACCTAGAGGCAGGGTGTGAAGGAACTGCATGGAGTGGACAGGGAGAAGCTGGAGCCAGAGATATTTGAGAGGTAGGATCCATCAGATCATCAGGAGAAAAACTAAGGACTCGATAACATTGCCAGCCTCAGAGGTCTGGGTGTTTGTGTTTATATTTACCAAGCTGAAGTTTATAAATCCACAGCAGGTTTGGAGGAAGTGGTAATTTCTGTTTGGGGTGGAGTCTGCCTAAGGTGCTCAATGTAGACAGAGAAATAGGGGAGAAGGTTCAGCACTGGAATCCACCAACACAATGAAGGCTGGAGAGGGGCTTAGATATGAGGAAATCATGTAAAATGAGAAAAGAAGTAGCTGCAAAAAAAGGGAAAACAATGAGGAATTTCTCCAAAATCAAAGCTTTTAGAGAAGCTAAAAATGTATGCTTTAAAAAGTAAACAAAAGCATTAGTAAAAATATGCAGGTAACCAATAAACACTGGTCATTTTCTTGCATTTATTTATTCAACAAATATATGTTAAGGGTCTACTATGTGCTTGGGCTGTTGAGGGCTTGAAGATAATATAGTAGGGATAATATAATACACTCCAATACACAGGTACTTAAATTCCAAGACTATCACTTACTCCAACCCTAACCTTATCCCTAACCCTAACTATGATACCCACAGTCCAATACACAAGTACTTGAAATCCTACACTATCCCTAAGATAACAGAAAAAACTCCTGTTCTTAAAGATCTTACATTTTAATGGGAAAACAAATAATGTAATTAACAAGTAAATTAGATAAGAGGTTAGAAGGTCTTAAGTATTTTGAAAATAAGTAAGACCAAAGAAGATGATCTGAGTTTAGGGTATAAAAGGCAGGTCTTCAATTCTGAACTAGGAGGTGACTTTAAAACAAACACTTGAAGTAGGTGAGAGATCGGATGATGCTGTTACCTGAGGCAGATCATTCCAGACCGCAAGGAAGTTCTCCATGTTGGCAATAGCCAATCCAACACAAGAAGATCCCTGTGCCTTACACAAGAAGATGCTTATATATATTTGTGAGTAATTAGCACAGTGAGTGTCCCAGAAGTAAGTGTATAAATAAGTCGATTCATTCTAGAAGCTCAATCAAAATATAGACATGACAATGGATCCATTTGGGAAAAAAGTAACATCTATCTGATAAAATACTCATTTAAAGGATATAATTTAACTTAAGATATCTCCTTTTATTTCCTTTCTTTTTTCTAGACCTGGTTTCAGCTGGATAAATTATGCAATAGATATGTGAAGGATTAGAGTTTGGGTCTTTTCTGGGAGGGAAGGGGATGGCATTTTGTCACCCTTTTGCTTCTCCCATTTGTTTTATCAAAAAACTTCTTATATACATATTACAGTCTTATTCTGATTGACAAACAGCAGTACATAACAATTTCTTATGGCTGAGGTATCTAATATAAAACAGATCTGTATACACTTGTACATACATGATTTATAACAAGGCGCTGATAAAAGTTAAATTGTGTCTTGAATTTTGAGAACTGAAATATCTGCTTTTCTGCCACTGTTGCAGAGAGCTCATAAATGATAGAAGTGCTTTGGCTTTCAGAATGATGCTATTTCTTTGGAATGAAACTTCTTTGGGGAACAAATATGAAAAATAAAACGTGTCATTTTGCATGATACAGAGTCTTTTTATTGTCACCTTTCTGACTTTAAAAGTGAATGGGACAAATCATAAAAAGACATATTGTAGGTGCAAGTTCTGCCTTAGATTTAGATATTCTAATGGAGTATACAATTCAGCAAGTCTCTCTGTGTCTCATTTCTCCCATTCCTTATCCATGGGCACAGTGACCTAGTAATAAAGCACTGAACTGCGAATAGGATGATTTACTCTTTGGCTGGCAGCCTCTCTCAGCTTATGGCTCCTGGAAATGATGATTTTCCTATCAACTTACTCCACAGGAGTGTTGTTAAAATCCATCATATTGAGCCCCGGGGATTTAATGAAAGCGGATGTGCACACATATGGCTATAAAGACAATTTGCCAAATTTTTAGAGATCAGTCACAAGGATCAATTATAAACATTTTATGGACCTACAAACTGATACTTTTAAAATTAATGGAACCACAATAAGACTACTCCACACTCCCTAGGATGGCTATAATGAAAACAAACAAACAATAACAAGTATCGGTGAGGATGTGGAGAAATTGGAACCCTCATACATTGCTGTTGAGAATGTAAAATGGCACACCACTGTGGAAAACAATTTGGCAGTTCCTCAGAAAGTTAAACATAAAGTCATTATACAACCCTTCAATTCCATTCCTGTGCATATTATCGAAATAATTGAGAACATACATCCACAAGAAATTTGTACATAATGTTCACAGCCGCATTATAATGTCCATAAGCCAACAAGCAGATAAACAGAATGTGATATAACTATAAAATGGAATAATATGCATATTCCAAGTGAAATCTTTATACATTGTACAATGTAGACTAAACTTGAAAACATGCTACGTGAAGCTAAATGCAAATACCACATAATTCCATTTATATAAACTATGAAGAATAGGTAAATACATAGAAACAAAACATAGTCCAGTCATGGTTGTGTAGCACTGGCAGTTTGTGGGCAAATGAGAAGTGACTACTAATGGATATGGGATGTTATTTTTCTGGTGATAAAACTGTTATGGCATTAGGTAATGGTGATAATTGCCAAAACATTGTGAATATATTTTTTAAATCAATGGATTGTACACTTCAAAAGAATGAATTGTATGGTACATGTGTTTTATCTCTGTAAGAATGATAGCTAACTGACTGTGTCAATTTGAGTAAGAAACACCCAACTAAATTTGATCTGCATAGTTCTGGGTGTGGCTGAATAGATTAAGTGAACATTGAAGACCCAACCTGGGTGTGACACCAACCAATAGGCTTGCCACCTAAATGAAATAAGAGAGAAACAAAGAAGTAAGTCTCCCTTCTGTTTCTTCCAAGGAGCTCCAGTTTTAACCTTCACCTTGGACATCCTCTTCTGGCTTCCAGCACAGACTCTTCAGCCTCCAGTATGGATTTGCTTTCCATCGCAAATCTTTCAGCCTTCTGATATGGACTTGCATAGGACACTGCAGTGAGCTCCAGGCCTTCGACTGGGTCCTTCAGATAGGGCAGCCATTCTTGTAAGATGATTTTGTAAATCCTTATGTACTTGTATATCTTGCATTAAATCTGTTTTTCTAGGGAGCAGTGACTGATACAATAAACATTTGATTTTTTAATTAAGGATTTGAAATTTGGTTAAATTTCACATGACGTAAAAGAATTATTGTCAGTTTTTGAGATGACGACATGATTGTGGTGATGTTCTTTCAACTGGTCTATGAAGATGACCACTCAAAACTTAGTCATTATTTTATTTTTTTAGAAAAATTAATGGCAAGTTCATATTACTAAAGTGATACCCTATTGTTAGGCTCCCTCACATGGACATGGTGGCCAGGGACTAGAGTCTCACACTTATGAAAGTTTCCTAGCTGATACAAGTCTCCATTTCTTCTTCTGTAAAGCAGAGACTGTTATAAGAATTGCACATTCCAAGGGCAGTTGTGAAAGCCAGAAGGCATCTGAGCAAAGGCTATTGTGGCAGGGATGGAAGTGGTGGTTAACTTTATTAGATTGAATCTTTTCCTCCATTTTAGCAACTCTGAAAATAGGATGTATCTAATAATCTATAGCATTTCATGGTTTAATTGGTAATATTTTTGCTTTCTTAATGGTTTATAAAATAAAGGAACATCTTATACTCAATTAACTTCTGAGATAATGCTCTTTCAGTCAGTACTCATACCACCCTCTATTAGGCTATAGGTGGCTTTAGTTTTCATCTCTTTTGCCAAATACTTCTGACACATTTACTTCTCAAAAATATCAATGTATTTCTTGTTTCTTCCTCCTCTTCCATATTCCTTGTCTCTTCTTGTCCATAACCATTATTTTTTGGTCTAACAATTACAACCAGTGTGACTGTATGCAATTTAAACTTCTATCTTGGCCTTCCTTGGTATGTATTAAATGAACATAAATACAGTATTTATAATTTTATGTTACAGGCAATGGTCTAGGCACTGGGTGAAGAAAGCAATGTCTAGTCACTGGGAGAAGAAAGCAGGGAACTGTACAGACTAAGTACTTACCTAGGGGGATTTGAAATTTTAGTGAGCTGAAGAGAGAAGATATAAAATAATAAATATTTACTATCTTGGGTAGTTAGATGTGCTATAAAATAATAAAGAAGAATAACCACATGCAATAGAATAAAATCTGACCTTTATTTTGCACAATACACAAAAATCAACTCAAAGTAGGTTAAGCACAAATCCTGAAACCATAAAATTCTTAGAAGAGAACATAGAGGAAAAGCTCCTGAATGATGACTTTGGCAATATTTTGAGGGTTATCACACTGGAAGCTCAGGCTACAAAAGCAAAAACGAGTAAGTGGGATTATACCAAAGTAAAAACTTCTGCACAGCAAAGGAAACAATCAACAAAATGAAATATCAAACTAATGATTAGGAAAAAACATTGGCAGAGCATATATCTAACAAGGATTTAATATTCCAAAATGCATAGAGAACTCATTCAACTCAATAGCAAAAAAACAAACAACCTGATTTTAAAATGGTCAAAGTACCTTAACAGGCATTTCTCCAAGAAAACATAAAACAGACAACAAGTATATAAATAGGTGTTCATCATTAACCACCAGAGAAACATAAATCAAAATCACTATGAGAGATCACCTCACATCCATTAGGATGGCAATTATCAAAAAGTCAAGAGACAAATGCTCATGGGAGAGTTGAGAAAATGCAGCCCTTGGACACTGTTGGTGGCAAGGTAGATTGGTGTACCATTTATGTAAAATAGA